TTTTTTTTTTTTTTTTTTTTTTTTTTGCTATCAGGTCACTACTGGAAAAACCCCAAAGTGCCCTTTCACCTAGTTCTTGGAAAAACCCATGACTGTTCCTGTAAGTTGTCACCAGACGTTCTTTTTTGGTTAATCTTACAAAAACCTGTAGTTAGGACAAGGAGGGACATCTGGCCTGGGCCAATCAAGCATTGAGAAAGTACACCTGCACTTGCAAAATGTTAACCAATAAAGCGTTGAGAAAGCACACACTTGCAAGATGTTAACCAATTAAGCATTGACCAGTTTAGAAAGCCCCTAGTTCTGCTTCTCTGCTAATAAAAAGGCTGTTTGAAATCAGGCTCAGGGCTCTCAGTACAACCACTGCATCAGTGAGGTCTGAGAGTCCAGGCTCGAGCTTGCAATAAACTCCTCATGTGATTGCATCGGACTTGACTCCTTGGTGGTCTTTGGGGATATCGTGATCTGGGCACAATACCTGCACTACAGATCGAGACTCTGGCTCAAAAAACAAAACAAAACAAAAAACAAATTAAAAAATTGCAAAGAAGCCAGGTGTGGTGACGCATACCTGTCATGCCAGCACTCTAGATCACAAGTTCAAGCCCAGACCAGCAATTTGTCAATTTAGCAAGACTTTGCCTCAAAAGATAAAAGGGCTGGGGATGTAGCTCAATGCAAGGGCTCTGGGCTCAATACCCCAGTACAAAAAATACCACAAAACAAACAAAAACCCACAAGAGAAAACAAAACTGCAAAGAATTAGAGAAATAACTTTTAAAATGTCAGGTGTTTGCTCCAGCTTCCCCAATCCTAGATATTGCCAGTCTGCATCCTTCAAACTGATTGTAGATGAAGTGGCGCTATGCACCGGACACACTCAGAGAACATGCTAGATGCATGCAGTGAGCACAGGAGACACACAACAGACGGTGGGCTACAGAAGGTGATGCTGTGGAAGAGGCCACGTGGAGGACACCCTGCACAGCTGTCCCTCTGGGCTGACTGCAGAGGGGCAGGGGCTCCCACAGTGACCTAGGCTGGATATTATGTGGGCCAGGAGCAGGCAGTGTTCCCGAGCTAGGACCCCACTCCCTGTGGTGGTGACGTGTCCCCGACCCCGTCAGCCTGCTCTGTAGGTGTCCAGCCTCACTTGGCCAAAGACACAGAATTGGGATCAGCCCAACACCCACATCCATGCTGCCCACCTTGCCCTGACAAGGGAGGACGCCTTGGGGTCCTGGGGACAGTCATGGCTGCTCTGCAGGGCATGGTGGCCCAAGGTTCCTGGGCCCTGTATGTTCTGCTTTAAATCCACAACACAGTGTTGATTTTCATGCAGGAATGACCGATCCACATTGGGCATAAAATTTTTAAATTATATGACACAAATCATTTGCACCTCTTATTTTTATTTTAATACTGCAGTGTATGGAACAATGCTATTTTTAGATGTCTACGTCACACTTGATTTTTCACTGTGAAAAGTCCGAGCCTCACATCTCCAAGGCAGATGCAGCAGCTTCTGAGCCAGAGAAGGGGAGCAGCCCAGTCCTGGGAAGGGGGCTGTGTGGCTCACAGAGGGGGCCTGGGACCCCAGCTTGGCCTTTTTCCGAAAGTGAGACGTAGCACCAAAGGTTCCAGACACCAGGAGGCTCACTCCATGCACCCACTCCTCATGCCCGCCCTTCACGCCCATCCTCACACCCCCTCACACCCGCTCTCATGCCCACCCTCACGCCTGCCCCCCACACCCCTCCACCCTGCTGGCCAGGGCTGTCAGCCTGAGCCAGTTCCTGGGTGCCCACCCTGAAAGTGAGTCGAGCTGTTTCCCCTCTATGCACGTCATCCCACTCTGCCTCCCCTGCTGCTCAGCAGTGCTTTTCAGTTACTCTGGAATCTGTGGCACTGAGTGGCACCCTGTGGACCTGGCGAGGACAGAGCACTACAGCTCGATCCTGACCATGGCTGACGTCCCATGTTGGCTCAGATTTACACAGCGGCCTGGCGCTGCTCCAGGGTCGGAGGAGCAGAGCAGCTCTAGCCCTGACTGAACTGGATGCCAGGGCAACGCCAGCACTGTTCTGTCACCTTAGCAATTCCTGGAGTCACACGTGGATTGTGGCATTGGGTGGGACCCCGACAAGCGTGATGACACAGGGTGCACACCCTCTGGACACAGCCACTGCACATTCCTTACAACATGCTCAGAGGCAGGTGCTGGAGGCTCCTTCAGTTTGCAGGAGAGTAAATGGAGGCACAGAGCAGTCAAGCCACAAGCTCAAGCTCACAGGGTCAGTGAGCACTGGACTGGGTCTGCATCAGCCAGTATGGCCAAATACAGGTGCTCTCAGGGCCACATATGGCTGCCACCTTATGCCTGCACTTCCTGGGACCATAGGAGACATGGCCCAGCACCTGGTCTCACTGGCTCCTTGGGTCCAGCCATCCACTGCCTTCCCCAGGTTCCCTGTCTGGCTCAGCCTGGAATCCAGTGCTGTGAATCCCTATCTTAGATCTGGGACACCCTCCTGTTTTTTTGTTTTGTTTTTTGAAACAAGGTCTCACCATGCAGTTCAGGGCTAGCCATGATCCCACTGTGTAGCCCAGGCTGGCTTCAAACTCACAGTGATCCTCCCGCCTCAGCCTCCCCAAGTTCTGGGACTACAGCTTCTGGGCCACCATGCCCAGCTTTTTTATTGACTGGAAGACTCTCAGTATCTCAGAAGGTTGTGTGGAAAGTGAGCATTTTAAACCTAACACACCCACAGCACTCAGTTCTGTCCTAGTGACAGCTTTGCTGGGCACAGAATTACTGAGCCTGCCTTCCTCCCTGGCCCAACTGGGGATGTGGGATGATCTGCTTCCCCTCTCTCTCTTCCCTCTCCAGAATCTTTGGGCTTCTCCCTGGTATCTCAAAACTGCTCAGGCCCTCTAGGGAGGTGGCTGGTCACACACTTCCCTTCCACGGCCCCTTCCTTCCCGATGTCCCCTTCCATAGCTGCTGTTGTGTGAAAGTTTCTCCCTCACCATCTTCTGCTGCTAGCTCTCCACTGTCCCTCCAACCTCTGGGACCCTTGGTCACCACCGGAAAGGGCTCCAGGCAGTCTGCGTTTGACCCCACTCAATGCACAGACACATGGTGACTGTTTACACTTCAAGCTGTGTCGGGGGAAAGACACTGCCAGGAGTCCCCCAAGACACTTCCCCTGGCTTTGAGCGCACTTGTGGGCTGTGGTGAGGCTGCGGTAGGCAGATGGGGCTAGGGTCCTGCCAGGAAGGGTGGCTGGGGCCAGAGCTGAGGGCTGGGGCGCCAACAGTAGGCCTGGAGTACTCAGCCAGTGGGGAGCCCGGTCTGAATCTGTCAATTCTGAGGACAGCGCTTGGGGCCCCTCCATCTCTCTCCCACTCTCACCATCTTCCCAACCCTGGCTCCAGCCCCTCAGATTCTCCTGCACGCTCAGAATTGCTGGGTCCTGCCAGGAACGGGACAAGCAGGGAGGTGCTCAGGGCAGCCGACCTACAACTGCAGGATCCAGAGACACCTGCCACCTGCTGAGCCCCTCCAGAACCAAATCAGGAGTAGCCTGACCCGGTGGGGACTCCACATGGATACCTGCAGTGTCTTCTCATCCCCCTCACCTGAGCCAGGTGCACTGCGTGCTCAGTGCTGGACCCTGTGCCAGGGTCACAAACATTCCTCACCCTGCCCTGCTCTCAGGATGCTCAGCTCCCAGGAAGAGCCACAGACGGGCTGTGCAGGTATTTTGGCTGTGCTGTGTCCCCATAGGCACTGCTGTCCTCACCTTCGGGACTGCACGACCTAGCTGGAAATGGGGTCTGCAGATGTGATCAACATCAGATCTGGTCACCCTAGTGGGGTGGGGTGCACCCCATATGGCTGTGTCCCCATAGCAAGAGGCATCCTGGACATGGACAGAGATGTGGCAGTGTGGTCACGAGCATGGGGGCACCGAGGAGCCACGATGGGGCCCTGGTCTGCGGATGCCCAGCTCAGACCCCTGGCGTTTTCCTGTTGTCCTCTGCACCCGCTGCTCAGCCCTGACCCGGTCTGCTGGGACCTGAGGGCAGGAGCTTCCCACGAGCCCTATCTCTCTGCCAGTGACCTGGCATGGGCATCTCTAGGGCTCAGCCAGCTCAGAGGTCTTCCTGGGGCCACAGGAGACACAAGTCCCAAAGCACCAGGCCCCAGGGACTTGGACTCCTTCCTGGTTTCTCACCCAGTTCCTCACCAGCCCAGCAGCTGCCCGTGTTGTCGTCTCAGAAGGGCTTTGTGCCAGGAGACAGGTCTGGGTGGCTGCTGACCCCACTGTGGA